GGGGGGTAAGAGAGAGGGAGAGAGAGAGGAGAGACAAAGAATGAGAGAGTGAGATAGTCCTAAGCGAGTTCTACTCAAAATATTTTAGAACATAAGACAAATCATCATCTCCTATGAATCCCCTTATTCCCCTTTCCGTAAAAAATTAAAGTAATCAAAACAAGACAAAAAAGATGAACAAAACGAAACAATAAAATGGAATATAATCTCCCCTATGTATTATTATATAATATGTATTACTTTGTAAGCGTCTCCAGGCGTCTTCAATCTTACATCATAAAATTTCTCAGTCAAGCAAAGTGAAATCAAACAAAACGAGTTTGCTGGTTCTCTGCTTTGTTCTTTAGAGAGGCTAGCTTTTGAAATGTGAAAAATAAATACATTATACCGTACTTTTGATCGATTCCCTTGAGGAATTATTTCTTAAAATGATGTACATAAATACTCAAGTAGTTTGTTAAAACACGAATTGTGGGTGGTTGGCGGGTGCTCTGGTGTGGTTTGCTCCTTCTATCCTATCAAACACCTATCGTCCTTATCTCCCCTTCTTCTTTTATATGTTTGTTACTCTCTTGTAACGCCTCTAATCTTCTGGCGCTCATATGACATTATGCAGTTGCGAGCGCCGTAAAACCTCTTCTAAAACTAACTAAACCCGAATTAACACATGATGAAAAATGCACAATGCTACGAACATTGACAATCCACAGACCATTGCTAGCCGCCGCTGTGTTGCGCGCTGCGTATTATTTTAGTTGAGTTGAGTTTTACGGCGCTCGCAACTGCATAAGGTTATAATATGAGCGCGCGAAACATAACTTGGTGCATTCACAATTCACAGCACGGCTTGGTTTAGGTCGATATTTCAGTTTAAATGTTTTTTAAATTGTGGTAAAATCTTGGTTTTAAAAAATAACACTGTAAATAATATCTAAAACAACGCTATCTGCAATTTTTGTAAAGGCCTTCATAAAGTCGAGAATTGTTTTGGGATCAAGGAAGGGCATTGTGTTTGAGTTAAGACATAGCTTGCCAGCCTGGCGCGTATTGCCCACTCGTGGCACATAGATGTGGTGCCGTGGGAAAATCAGGCGCTCGTTAAAATAATGAAATTGAAGAGATCAACATTTTCACTCTTCATTAGGCCAATTTTTCGATTTTTCTTTCCCAACACCTTTTATGTCCTTTTAAAAAGACTTTTCTGTGCGGACACTACTGAAAAACGTTTATCAAAAGTGTGGGGTTTTTTTTAATGTGCAGTTCCCGAAAACATTCTTGAAGCTTTGGAAGTCACCAGACGTTGGCGGCCATTTTCTCGCTAATCTAACATCTAAAATCAGGCGACCCCCATGTCCTTCAATCTGAAATCTTGACTTCTGTTCAAACTAATGTATGGGTATTTGTGAGGCAGCGTGGTGGAATCAGGCTCTCGTCAAAATAATTAAAGTGAAGAAACTGGCATTTTTCCACAGGTTTGTGAATTTTTTTCAAATTTTTGTTTTTCGTCTCAACACCTTTCATACCCATTAAAGAACTCATTTCTGTGTGGATTTTTCTGAAAAACGTTGATTTAAGAAACAAAAAATGTAAATTTTCAGTTGACCTGGACTCTTAAGCTAAGGAAATAACTAATCTTTGGCGGCTATTTTCTCACTAATTTTACCTCTGAAAACAGGTGACTCCCACCTCCTTAATTCGCAACTATCTCGACTTGTATTCTAGATAAAATGGATATTTTTTTCATCCAAATAAAGACAAGTGAACAAGCTTTAAGATGATACGAATAACTCTACATGCCCAGAAATTGACGAGAGCCTGATTCCACCACGCTGCCTCACATTTGTTATCGAAGGCAAGACGAAAGAACAAGTTTTAAGATAATACTCCTCATTGTGCCCCCCAAACTGGCACAGACCTGACCCAGATTGAGGGCACTTAACTTAAATCATCAGACAGTCATTTGTCACAGTGACTTCGCTTTGGTCTGTCATGGGCTGAGATGACGCCATGTGAGCAAGCTCAAAAAACAACGTTCGAGTGGCAGGTGATTTGAAACTTGCAAAAAAAACCCAAAGGTTTTAGTTGATGAAGATGCTCGTTACAGCATGGTCGTGATTCTAAACGCGACAGCGAGCCTTTTTTTTTTCTTGCATAAAGTGTGGTGGATACATTCAGCCTGCTCAATAACAAAGTTTGATTACGTAAGGCTTAGAGGCTGAAATGCGTTTAGGGGAGGGGGGGGTGGCTACACCCCCAAAGTCAAAATTCGGCTCAAAATCAAGGAATTTGAGTTGTAGACTTTTTTAGCTTTCTCAGCCTCTCCTACAACTATTTCATCGCATAAGAACCCCCAAAAACCGTATTTTCCCATACCGGGCATGTTTGTAACCGCCATTTCCTCATTAAGTTAGTATTTTATTTTTCTTTATCGGCCGTTTTCTCAAAACGCGACTTTTCTCTATACTTTTTAAAATAACTCCACCATTTTTGCTCCAACCTTCATGAAATTTTCACAGAATAAAGAGAAGAGGTCATACTAAACATATGTCTGTTGAATTTTTTATATATTGAATAGATTTTTGTTGGTGGTGTCTGGAGTGTGGATTTTCACGGATTTTTCGCAAACTTGAATGCTACCTCAGGAAAAAATTGATAAAAAATTTTCTAATTCGTTTAGGAAAAAAACAACAAACAAATTTTTAGATCTAATGTTTGTGAACACGCATGCAAAAAATCCCAATCAATTTCCATGAGCGATAAGTGCGGTATTCATTACGTAAGACATGTCAATAAAATCTAATATGGCAGCGTATCCATGGAAACGAAACTCAAATTTGATTGCGGATTTTAAGACTCCTTACTATGCTTGTTATATGTGTAAAATTTGGTAAAATTCGGTCCAGTAATAAGCGAGATA